ATAATTTTTGGCGCTATATAAATATAGAGTGAAATAGTCTGTAAGCAGACTTTAATCTTGAATACTAATATATAAGATTAATTTATACTAAATAGCTACAGTTCCATTAAGAAATTCAATTATGGTCAAATTACCCTAAATTTTGGAACAATAATTTATTTAAGTCAATTATAAAAGTTTATATTATATATTCATAGGGAAATTAATATAGATAAATAAAATTATTATAGAAATTATTACAGAAATAAATAGAAATTAAAATGAGAATTAAGATAGAAGTAGATAGTCTGTAAGCAGACATAAATCTTGACTAAATATTAATATATATAATTAATTTTGTAAATAGCTATAGTTTTATCAAGAAATTCAATCTGTTCAAATCATTCTAAATTGTGGAACAGTAATATATTCAATTTAAGTCAATTATATAAGGAATTAGCTATTATATTCATTAAAAAGCTTATTTAGTAAATATCTAAAAAAAATAATAATTTTTTACTTAGAATGGTATCTATAGGTAAATTCATATAGAGATAAATAAAATTAAGATAGAAATTAATATCAAGATAAATAGAAATTAATATAGAGTTTAATAGTCTGTTAGCAGACCTAAATCTTGAAATTAAGATAAATATATATATAAAATATTTTCAATAAGATTACTATAGTTCCGCTAATGAGTTCATTCTTGCTAAAATTAAATTAAGTTCGGAACAATTACTAAACTTTTAGACTGAGTTATATAATTCATCAATAGACAGTTCATTATTAAATTTTATAAATACCTAATTATAGGATTCTATATTCGATATTTCTTGAGCAATTATCTCAGATCTTTTATCTATACATTATTTTTTATTTACATATAGTTATTGCTCATTATTACACATATTCTTTAGTTTAAGATTTCTTACAGAAAAACGAGAAGTTAAAATATTTTTCTCATAAACAAAAAAAAACTTTTTACAGGAAGCAATCCTTTATTACAAAGATATTTTCTCAGTAGGATAACAATAAAGAAATCTTTGTCCATAAAAGAAAAAGCTCTGAAAAATCAACAAACTGTTATTACACTAGAGCAAGCGAAATAGATTTATCAATCTCATTTAAAAGGAATTAGCTTTTCATACTTTCTCTCATTTTTTAATTTCTCAACAAGCAATCAACTTGTAACAAATAAATAAAAGCGCTTAAATACTTCAATAAATTATTTTAAATCCTAAAAGCTAATTGCGAATTGACTTAACTTTTGGAACCTGCGCTAAAATATTTCATTATATTATTAGTGCACACTCTTATTTTAATATATTATCTTATAGTCTGTAAGCAGACTCAAATCTTGAAAAATGTCCACCGAGGACGATATAAAAATAAATGTAATAGACAAACATTTTTGGGAAGCCAAACAAACTATTAAGGTCCAAGACTTAGAAAAGGCCCACTCAGAAGTAATTAAGTTAGAAGAAGGGGTAAATAGGGCTTTAAGACTTATTAATAGAAAAGTTAATGCTAATTATGAAAAGATTAATACAATGGCTAAGGACGTAAATCTCAACATAAAAACCCTTAGTACCCAAATAATTTCATTATCGGAGAATGTAGAAAGATTAGAAGCTCTTAAAAGCGATACATTAGGACCAAACAATAGTACAATAGTAGACAATAGTCTGTTAGCAGACTCTAATCTTGACGAAACTCAAAAAGAATCTATAAACATGATTTCTTCACACTCGGGTCATATTGAAACATTTTCTGATGAATCTATTATAGCATACGATAAGTGGGCTGAAAAATTTTGTGACTATGTAGGGGCTACAGGTCGAACATGGAGCGAACCTGAAAAGGTTGCGAGGCTTAAGCTAGCTCTTTCTGATACCCCAAGGCAACTCTTTAAACAGTTAACGCAGCAAGAAACTAGCACACTAGAATCAGCATTAAAAGCATTGCGCTCAAAATTAGACTCGCCGCAGCGAAGGGAAATAACCAAACGCACATTAGCATGTTGCAAACAAAGGGAAACGGAAACTGTTTCAGAATTCCTTAAAAGACTCACACCATTAGTAGAGGTAGTGAATTCCTCATTAGACGAAACCCAAAGGAAAGAAAAAATTTGTGAAGAATTTCTAGATAGAGTAAAACCCAACATAGGATTCCTAATTAGATTAGTTGGGCTCTCGAAAGCTAAGGACTTAGATCTGGTAAAATCTCAAGCGGAGGAATTAGAAACAATGTTAGCTTCTGATAAAGGCCAAATTCAACTACAAAGTCCTTTCACACAGACGGTTCACGCGTTAGCTACAAATCCTGCTATGCCAAGCTCAAGCTATTCGATGCCTCCCAGGTCTTTCCCAAATCAGAATACTTTAAGAAGGAATTATCCGAATGCTAATTTTACTCCGCTAAACACTCAAAATGCGCGGTACATTCCTAATCGACAAAATAGGAATAATAGAAATGACAACTGGAGGGGAGGACAACAGCAACGCAACGAAAGGAAATGGAATAATAGACCAATATGCAATTTCTGCAAGCGCGTAGGGCATACGTCATATACCTGTCAAGAGCGACTTGCACGATTTCAAATTAATTACGCTGCAAATTCTCATAAGTATACTACCCAACAAGCAAAGCAACCGGTCACAGGGCAGATTAGATCCATTGAACCCTCAAATAAAATTTTAATAGATGCTGGCGATTTAATCCACGCATTGGCAAAACTAGGAGTAGGAAACAGTCATGATTCATCGCCTTTGAGCAAAGACGCGAATTCGTCTGTTAATTCCCTTGTCACAGTAGATAAGATATCGAATAAACCAATAAAGGAAGAAATCAAGCAAAATATAGAAAATAAAGTTGGGAAAGAAGAAACCCATACAAAAATTTCGAGCTGGGAAGGGATAGGTCCAAAAATTTCCCGTGTGATGTTTTATCTAACAATAATGCTAATATTAGTCACTCCCATTAATGGTTCGAAAAATCTTATTCCAATATCACGTCAACCAATTATTTGTCAAACCCAGCTCCATGGGGTAATTTGGTCATTGCCTTCACCTACTGGCTGCCCAGATACTAAGATAGATTACTCGAAAACCCCCGAAGCAGAATCGCTAACTGTATATAAACCGAACCCATATGAACATGAAATCTCGTCATGGGCCTGCCGCAAAGTAAATAAATGTGTTAAGAAATCCACCTCACTTTCCGGGGTACCAATTACTGAACAAATAGAACCGGAACATTTAGAAATAAATTTACATGAATGCAATCAGATGATAAATCACAAGAAATGCAGTTTGGGAACTCTAATAAATGAGGAAGGGCTTTACCACACTGATAAGAAAATCAATTTATCTCCAAGGACCTGGCTTTTAGGCTCATTTAACTGGGAAACTGTCTGTAGTACGAATTGCTATTTATTCAACACGAAAATAACAATGCGCTTTGGTAGTGCGCACATAGAAACTCTCCTAGGAGACTCAAGTCATTGCCCATTTAAAAATGGGAACTGTTACTTAGAAGACAAAACACAAATTATTTGGCCCAGTAATAGTGAAAAGAATTGCGAATATATTCCAATAGGAACCTGGTCAGGACAAAGGATGGGCCAAACATGGGTCGCAGATAAATTACCGCTATTGCTAGATTTTCCCGAAGTTCCTAAAACAGTTAGAGTATGCGATAAAAATTTAACAATTTCCAACCAGGGTTTCGCAGTCCACAAAGAAAACAAAAGAAGAATAAAGCGAGCCATCTCTGGTATAGTAACATCAGCACAACTACAATCCGAATTATCATACCTAAGTTGGAAGATGGCCCAGACCATGCGTGTTTCATTCACTCATTCGCTGCATGCGATTTGCAATCACTTAGAAGAAGTTAGGCGCTGGGCAATCTCTGCCGCGTTTACCGATCCAACTACTTTTGCACGGGTTATTTTTGAAAACCCTCTAATTCATGCGAAAAGGGTAAGCTCTGGAATAATTAAAATCTGGCCCTGCGTTTCAATTAACCGAGATCAATACGACTTTATAACGCACGGGGAAACAAACCTTGAAAAAGGAATATGCTTTGATAAAATTCCAATTAAGTTCAAAGCTGGCAGTGAAAGCAAAATTGTATTTATTGACCCAGCAAGAATGGAAGTAGTAGCAGACGCGAGAAAAGCCCCGTGTTTCGAATACAGACACCAAATAATCCAACTTGAGGATGAAATTTTGGAAATAGATCAAATGACTGCCCAAGTAAAGAAATTAGAAACCAATGTTTTAACAAATTTAACATTCGCATCGCTTACTATTCCAAAGATTTCTACTCAGTCCTTTCACCATTTAGTAATAAATAATGTAACTGACTTCATAACGCACACTCACATAGCTAGCACATTAAGAGCAAGCGAAATAACATATAGGATTCACACAAAAGACACTGAAACCAGAGTAACTCCTTCAGAATCTTGGGGACAAGTTAGAGAGGAAATAGAGAAACAAATATTCGGGGACTGGTCCAAAATCTGGAAAGGAACAATCACAATTTTGGTAATAATAGTTTTTGGCGAAATGCTTCTAAGAATTTTCTTCATTTTACGAGCCTCATATGTAATTGAAAAGCCACTAAAAATAATTAAAGAGGAAACCCAAACAGTTAAAGATGAAAATATGACCGAGCTTAAATTTACGCCCATCCAAATAATTTCTTCTGCAAACAAACAAACAAATAGAGAGGAATTAAACGAATTAACCGGACAAAATAAAGGACCCGGGTGCACTTTCTCTGCTATAATTCAAGCAAAAATAAATTCTATACCAATAAAATGTTTAGTAGACACGGGATCCACGGTTACGGTAGCTCCTAAATCATTAATTGACTTAATAAATTGTAAAACTAATCCAGCAAAGATGGAGGCAGTAAGTGCCTCTGGCCATGTAATTGCGGCCCGCGAAAAAGGCGAAGCGATATTAAATATAGCAGGCTCTAAAGTAAACATGACAATCAACTTTGTGGATGACGAGAGGTTTAACAATAAGGAATATAAAATACTGTTAGGTGGGGACACACTGTGTAAATTCCATTTAATAGCATTTGACTATGACAATAAAAGATTAATGCTAAACGGCAAATGGATAGAAGTTTTAAGTGAAAATAAACTAGCTAGTGGAATTCGCGCAAGAGCTTTACAAAATTTAACCATATACCCTAACAGTCAATCTATTATTGAGGCAGAATTGGATTATAATTTTCCAATCAAAGGTTATCTGGCAAGTGACTATCCGGATAAAAACCTGACTAACTCACATATTGGATTAGTTCCGTCAATCTGTGGTCCGTACGCGGACAGAATCTCGTTAGCACTGATAAACCCTACAAATGAACCCAAAATAATTTTTAAAGGAACCCATCTAGCCTACGTTAATGAAATAAAATTGAATGAAGATGGTTCGTTTAGTGAAGAACCTGAAAAGAAAACAAAAATAGACATAGAAACTGAAATAGACCCCAATTACAAAATCGACTTATCCAAATCTGGAGTAGAGGGAAATGAACTTGACCAATTAAAAGATCTATTAAATGAGTTTGAGGACATTTTCAGTAAATCTCAATATGATCTTGGATCATTTACGGGAGGCGACCATAATATAGTTACCACTACTGAGGAACCAATCACTTCTCCTCCTCGGAAGATGCCATATAAATATAAGGAGGAACTTAAAAAGCATATTGATAAATTATTGTCATGTGGAATTATGATAGAATCCGAAACTCCGTGGGTTACTCCTTTCGTAATTGTACAAAAGAAGGACGGCGGGATTCGTCCTTGCCTCGATTTTCGCAAGTTAAATGACATAACAATCCCCGACAGATATCCTTTACCAAGACTAGATTCTATTATGGAAAGGGTAGGAAGTTGTAAATATTATAGTTCCTTGGATCTTTCAAGCGGTTACCTGCAAATAAAATTAGGTGAGGAGACGTCCTGGAAATGTGGGGTTATAACAGAAGAAAACGTATATCAAATGCTCTATATGCCTTTTGGACTAAAGAATGCAACTGCTGCTTTCTCAAGAGCTATGGCCGTAGTTCTTTGTGGATTAGAAGACTGTGCAATTTCATACGTAGATGATATTCTGGTCTATACAAAATCAGGTCCATTTACAGAGCATCTAGGTTCCTTAAGGAAAGTTTTCGAAAGATTTAGAATTTATCAGTTAAAACTAAGCCCAAAGAAGTGCACATTTGCCACTAAGGAAATGATTTTCTTGGGATATACACTAACTTCGGAAGGATACAAGCCTACTCTGAGTAGAATTGAATTGATAAAAGAAACACCAATTCCTAAAAATGTTAAAGAAGTTAAAAGAGTATTAGGGAAAATAGGATTCTATAGAAGACATATAAGGGATTTCGCGACTTTATGCGAACCACTCGTGCGCCTCACAAGGCGAGAGTCAAAATTCGAGTGGGGTTCTGATCAACAAAAAGCTTTTGAGAAAATAATAAATCTCCTTTCTGAAGCACCTAATCTAGTAGTACCTGACTATAATAAGCCATTCCACATATTCACTGACGCATCAAATTTTGGAATGGGTGGTGTTTTAATGCAGCGAAATGAAGAAAGTGGGACCTTTTCAGCGATTTCATATTGTAGTCGCACACTTTCAGCTTCTGAAAGACGCTGGCCTACGGTACAAGTCGAAATGTGCGCTATAATTTATGCCCTAAGGGAATTTAAACCCTTCATTTTCATGAGCGATATAGAATTACATACGGACCACAAGCCACTAGCCTATCTACTTAAAAAGTCTGACACTCACCCTCACCTAGCACGCTGGCTTATAGAGCTGCAAAACTACCAAATAAAAATTGTCCATGTAGCAGGTAAACAAAACTCCCTAGCAGATGCGCTATCTAGGTCCTCGGAAGATATTCCCTTAAAAGAAGTTGAAAATTTAAAAGAAATAGAGGACATAGTAGAATTCCCTATTTGCATGGCTCTCCAAACAAAATCCAGACTCGTCTTTGACCCCTTTGTTAGCTCAATTACAATAAGACACGAAGACGGAAATTCTTATAAAATAAACTTAGAAGAAGAACAAAATAGTGATCCCGAAGCTAAAGCTTATATTGAATTTCTTCGAACGGGAGAAATACCAAACGGGTTTACTGAACTCGAAAAAGAAAATTTTACAACGCAAGCCTCAAATTTAAGCTTAATTTCAGGAATATTGTATTACAAAGCACATTCGCAGACACCCAAGATTTATATACCAATCTCACTACGTGCTCTAGTTTTTGATTCATTCCACTCTTCCTTGCTAGGTGGCGGACATTTGAGTGTAAGAAAAACAATAAGGAAATGCCAAAAATATTATTGGCCTAAATTATATTCAGACATAGCAAACTGGACGCGTCAGTGTATCACCTGCCAGCTAAAACATAACCCAACACCGTCATATAGGGCTGAAATGCAAATCGTCCCAAACAATACACTTTTTGCAAAAGTTGGCCTTGATTTAGCAGGTCCTTTCCCGATCACGTCTAGAGGGAATAAATATATCTTAAACATTATTTGCTGGTTTACCAAGTACGTTATTTCAGTCCCTTTACCAGACTCCAAAGCTAGAACAATAGCTCTAGAATTTCTTAAGAATTGTTAACTAAAATTCGGCGGATGTACAGAATTGATTAGTGACAACGCAACGGCTTTTACGAGTGATTTTTTCAAAGAATTTTGCGCACTGCTTTATATAAATAAGACATATGCCACGCCATATTTTTCACAAGGAAATGCTATAACAGAGCGCAGTTTTAGAACTTTTAATAATATTCTAGCGAAATACGTAACAAAAGACACCCCAGATTTTGATGAATTTCTTGACTTTGCAAGCTTTTGCTATAACACCTCCTGCCACACATCAACAGGCGAATCTCCCTTTTTCTTAGTTTTTGGGAGGGATCCTATATTTTGTATCGATCAGATACTAGATACGCGCGTTCATATTCCAGTTGCAATTAGTGAGGAAGCAGAATTTAAAACCAAGTTGGTCACTACGCTAAGAGAGGCCTGGAGGATAACTGCCGAAACAAGCATAGAGGCCCAAGAGAAAATGAAGGAACAATATGACAAATTGCAGAGAACTCTTGAAATAAAGATAGGGGATAGGGTTTTATTAAGGAATTACTCGGGACAAAAGGGAACATCTAAAAAATTCAATTTACCGTGGAAGGGTATTTATCGTGTAATTGAAATAGAGGGAGTACACGTCACAATCACCAGTTGTGTGTCGCCTCAATCTAACCCAAAGCGAGTACACATTAATCAAATAAAAAAGTGTTTTGAAGAGTTAGGACCAAATTGTACAGTACCTAAGATACCGAGCGATGAAGAGGTTATATTAGAGAAATCGGGCGCTAAGGAGATTACCAACAAACCCGGTCACTCACATCCAGCTAGACCCGAGTTAGTAAATAACGAAGAAGAAACAAGACAAGACAATGTAGGGGACAAAATAAAATACTCCTTGAGGCCAAGAGAGAAAATACAATTACCAGCAAAATTTAGAAACGGTTAAATAAAAAGAAACCAGGATTAATCGAATGAGATGTACATACATTTAATATCTCTGAAAACCAAAAAAGGAAGTAAGCTGAATAATGAAACTCATTTAAATCAATCAATTCCCTTTCTTAAACAAAAAAGAAACGAAAGTAATAGAGCCGCGGCAAACGCGCTAAATCTTGAATAAGGGAAAAACTAGGCTACAACACAAAATAATTTTCACAGCATTCAATATCCAAAATGTGAACGGTAAAATCAAAGAATACTAGCATTGACTTTTAAGACGCGAAATAGGAATATACAAAGAAAGACACAAGAGTTAAAAAATAAATGAAAAACCAATTTCCGCCGAAAGGAATCGAACCCAGCCATCAAAGAATGTATGCAATAACACTAACCACTACTCCAAAACTAAATTAAATCAAAACGCAAAAAAAAAAGTGAATAGAAAGCAAGAAATTCTAAGAGGGAATAAACCCAATAAAATACATGTGCAAGATTAATATTAGCAAAAATATTACAGTTGCGAGCACAATTTTGAAAGTATAAAGTTTAATTGTTGATTTTTGAGGAAATGATTTAATTTTTTATTTCATCTCAAATTTATGACTTAATTTAGAAACTTTTTAGAACATACTTAAACATATATATTACTCACATGTATACATTATTCAAAATATAATTATTCAACCTGGTAAAATGTTATTTTTTTCCCTCCTTCCTATTTAAAATTATATATTCCATTAAACCTTTTGTTAGGAGAAATAAGCATTGTAGAGATGTGCTTTACTCAAAACTGACACATATTACCGTACAATGTACATTTGATCAAAGGTTATCGGGGAGTAAAAAGGGATAAACAAAGCACAATTTTTCATTTTTTTTCTAAAAAAAGTGTGTTTACAATAGACATTAATTATTCACACACCAGCCTTTAAAATGTAACATTTTACAAAATAGAGGGGAAAATAAAAACTAGGAATAAAAAGGAGGAGAGAAAATCTTTTAGAATAAAAAGCAGACAACCAATCTCATTTTGAATAACATTAAAATAAATTGCAAAAATAAACATTCATTTTTGTAAAGATCAAAACACTAACCACTATAGTGGAAGTTCGAAAATTTTTTTTAATTGAATCACATCCCAACAATCTCTTTATTAATTTTAGTCCTGAAATTACTAACTAGGCTAATCTTGTAAGTGTGATTTAAATTCATAACGCGTTATTCATGTTTTTCTCTTTCTCTTATCCCTTATTAAAAATTCTAAAGCTTTAAATAAATCAAAAACAATTCTCCCAGGGCGTTTGACATGGCAATACTAGGTTTTTTATTGTTCTCCAAACCTTTACAAAAATCTAGTCAATTAAATTTTAAGGGAACCAGTTTAAAATCCAAAAATATATATTTATGGTTTTAAAAGAAATTACTCTCGTAAAATTTTTTTTATGTTCTCGACTTTATAGTTTTTTTTCTCGTTCTCAAAAAAAAAATATAAACAGTTTTATGGCCCAATTAAACCATACATACTGGTAAATATAAAACAGGAAAATATTTGGGAAAACTGTTTGAACAACAGTAAAATTAAAAAAAAGGCCATAAAATTTGATCTAATTTTCTATCACATGCCACTCATAACATTATTTCATACCAGAATTTTCCTTATAAACAAACTGTTTGATTTTTTTTTAATTCTCCATTCTAAAATTTTAAATCATTTATTCTTCAGACAAATCAAATAAAAAAAATTTTTTTCTGATTTAATTAAATGAGCAACAAAAAATCTGATCAAATTAAAGAAAGGATTGGGTTGCTTGAAAATATGGAGGCCGATTTACTGGCTCCTGGGCCTGATGAGTCCGATATGGACTTGACAGATCATCAAATTTCTGAGGCTCTGGAGGTCATTAATGAGGTAGATTTTACTAAAAATGCGTCGTACGCGACGATAATCTTGAAAAAAGCTTCTGATGCCAATATTGGCAAAATGGAAAAAGAAATGCTTGAAAAATTCGCAAACCAAGGGTTTGACGAGAAAATGGAGGAGGACGTGATTATGGACGATGAAAGCTATAATTGTATCGTTTGTCAAACGTCTGAGCAAAATGTAACCGTTACCCCAGTAGGAAAAGGACCGAAGGATTGGCCAGATTTTATTTTGGTTGATCAAGAATGGGCATCTAAAGATGAGCGATCGAGGCGCCCATTACGGATGGGAGACCTCGTAGAAGTTATATCTTGTACCCCTCTAGAGTTTCGCCTAAATAATCTATCTGAGACCGAGATGATCGCTAAACGTCTCAAAGAATCAGGGAGATTTTTGTGCATGGCTAAAGCTACCAGAGTAAAGTCCATTTTTCAATTGAGTAAAAGAGAGGTTCCAGGGATAGCTTTAGACTTTCAAATGTGTAAAAAGACTGGAAAACTCAGATATATAAGCGTAATAGGAGCTGGTGTAACTTGTTCTCAAAAAATATTTAAATGGCAAATGTCCGATGATCTAACCATGAGAATCAAAAAGGACCCGGTTACTCTTGATATGGTGGAGATAACACGACCCTCAGACCTAAAAATAGCCAAAGGAGGGGGATACATTTTACCGGCTAACTCAATACATGGAACCATTGAAGATAGGAAAGTCCATCAGCCACAACTCATTATAAGTATAAGTAAATTAAATACAAAATTTACCTACCCATTTAATTCAAAAATGTCGACTGAAGAAATAAAGGTGAGCGAAAAGCTGTTAGGGGCTGCTGTAGCTGCGGTAATTGATAAAACTTTAACTGATCTAGAGGAGGCTCAAGTAGAGGTAGTGCCTATGATAGAAGAGGTAAAAGGCAACATAATTATTATGAATTTTGAGTACCTTATTAATACGAAAAACAGGCTTGTTAGGTTTGCGGAAGTGTGGCAAGAGGACTGCCCTATATCGGTCAAACTAAATTACCCTGAGGCAAAACCCTGCGCCAGCGGGTATGTTCTCGAAAATGAACGGTCTGTATACTATGAAGGCTTTATGTTTAAAGCCAAACTTCTGCTTGCATTCCAGCCCGCGCGTAAATACGATGCCGAATCTGATTTTGAAATGATTAAAGAGGGCGCAGAAATAAAAATAAGTCCCACAGCCTCGATAAATGCTTTAGAAATGCGTATGGAGTCATTCTCGTATAACCTCTTGTCTGAAATAGCCTCTATGGACACGCCAAAAGGTAAAGTAACCAAAATTCTTTTAGGACTTGCTGAGAAAAGTGAATACCCTAAACTTAATATGAAGAAGTTAAGACAATCCCATCCGGTCCTAGCCCGCTTACAAACAAGTCAAGGTGACACTGCTATGCTAATGCTTGACGAACGGCCCCGGGGGGTGTTTCAACAAGCACCCCCCGGAACCGGCAAAACGTACACAGCGATGTCAATAGTAGCGGCAACGATGAAAATGTTTCCAGAAGCGCACATATTATGTATGGCTCCGTTGAACATAGCTGTTGTAAAAATGTGTCTAGAATTAGAGGAAGCCATGAAAATTGAGGGAATCCACGAGCCTGTATTGGCTTTATTTTCCGGTAACGGGAAAACTCGATATAAGGAACAAATTGAGAGCATTTCCACACACCTATTGGCTCATGCAGTAGATTCTCCCGAATTTACCAGCAAACTTGAGCTTACCGACTTGAAGAAAGTTGATAGATACAAAAAAGCTTGTATATCTCATCCCAGACTTGCATCCGAAGGGGCAATCGCCCAATTACTCCTTGAACAAGTAAAAAGGCGAGTGATCTTTCTTACGTTGGGACTTACCGAACAGCTATGCAAGCTTTTTCCCGAAACTGAAATTTTGATTTTGGATGAAGCTGGACAAGCGCCCTTTTCACAATTTTTGTCGGTAACGACATTTTTCCCAAAATTAAGAAAGGTCTTGGTCACGGGGGACAAGTTCCAACTAAAGGTACATTTAATAAGCTTGCCTGAAGCGGTTAGAGAAAATTATGGTTTGGACACGTGTATTGAAAGTTTTGACTCGTCGGAAGGTATTGACAAAACAACTCTCATTGTAAATTTCCGGTCCCATCCCCAGATTGTTAAGTGTGTAGAGGCGGGAGCTTACATACCTGCGAATCAAATGCTATTGCCTAGGGAAGGGGGAGACTTTTCTATGCTCCTGAATATGAAAAACTTTTTCGTCCCGGTCGCTGGTTCACCGCTAATACTTCTAAATCAAACCTCCCCCATGCTCGCCCAAGACACCAACTTCAGCTCCACTAATTCAGGCCAGACTCGCACCACAATCCAGATTCTTGAGGCACTAAGTGCCATCGGATTTAAAGGCAGCATCCGAGTAATATGCCTTTACGCTGCACAGGCAACTGAAATTGGGCGTGAAGTTGCGGATAGGGAACTCCCAGGTATACAAACACTCTCGGCAGACGCCATGCAGGGTCACGAGACTGATCTTGCTATAGTAGTCACAACAGCAACTCAAAGGGGAGAAAACACCACGGTAGATAATTCCAGAGAGTTTTGGGCTGACCCCGCACGGGTAAACGTTGCTTTGTCGCGTGGCAAACACGCATTAATCTTGATTGGTGATTTAAGGTATTTAATGAAACAGGAAGGGATTTGGAGTCGTTTCCTTAGGAAGGCCTTGGAATTTACCATTGTCGCGGATTCCACACATTACTGCAGAGCAATGATTAACTCTGAAGCAGAATATGTCAATGGACTCCTCCACTTAAAAGGAGCTTCGGTCCGGGATGAAAGATTCTATACAGGTCAGACTAATCAAATATCCCAACCTCAAACAGGCCCAACACGATACACAGAATGGCAAAGTAGCTCGCAGCGAGAATGGAGGCCAAAAGAATGCCAACGCTGCGGCCAAAGAGGACATGTGGCCAGAGAATGCCGAAAATAAAGAATGGTCGGAGTGAGGGAATTACAAGAGGGAATCCGCGGTAATAATAATCAGTTTATAGACGTCTCATGCATGGATTAAACGTTCAGAGGGATTAATAAGTGAATGGGCGCTTGATTGAATGAATAATTATCACTGTCCCTTCAGTGGTAGTTTCCTTTCCTTTTATGCGACTAAGCTTTACATCTATTTATGTGGGCGTGCTGGGAATTAAATTTTAAATTTATCTGTACTCTGCTCTTCACCTTACACGCCCCACCCCAACAGGTCCGGTCCTCCGGGCCCATTCTTTACCAACCGAAATGAAATTGCCAATATTGGCTTCATTTGTTTTTCAAGATTATCGTCGCGTACGACGCATTTTTAGTAAAATCTACCTCATTAATGGCTTCCAGAGCCTCAGAAAGCCTTTTTTGACTCTATTTTAAATATTAATGTTGTGAAAAGTATTTTGTGTTATACTATCTCATTTTCCTAAGTTTTCTTTTGTTTAAGATTTAGCGCGTTTGCCGCGGCTTTGTCTCTTAATTTTCGTTTAAGAAGGGGAATTGATTGATTAAAATGAGTTTTGTTATGCAGCTTACTTCCTTTTTGGTTAGTAAAGCTGTTAAATATGTATTTATCTTATTCGATTAATCCTGGTTTCTTTTTATTTAACCGTTTCTAAATTTTGCCGGTAATTGTATTTTCTCTCTTGGCCTTAAGGAGTATTTTATTTTGTCCCCTACATTGTCTTGTCTTGCTTCTTCATTATGTACCAATTTTGGTCTAGCTGAATGTGAGTAACCGGGTTTGTTAGTGATTTCCTTAGCGCCCGATTTCTCTAATGTAACCTCTTCATCGCTCGGTATATTAGGTACTGTACAATTTGGTCCTAAATTTTCAAAACACTTTTTTATTTGATTAATATGCACGCGTTTAGGGTTTGCCTGAGGCGACACACAACTGGTGATTGTAACGTGTACTCCCTCTATTTCAGTTACCCGATAAATACCTTTCCATGGTAGATTGAATTTTTTAGATGTTCCCTTTTGTCCCGTATAATTCCTTAGTAGAACCCTATCCCCTATCTTTATTTCAAGAGTTCTCTGCAATTTGTCATATTGTTCCTTCATTTTCTCTTGGGCCTCTATGCTTGTCTCGGCGGTTATCCTCCAGGCCTCTCTTAGCGTAGTGACCAACTTAGCTTTAAATTCTGCCTCTTCACTAATTGCAACTGGAATGTGAACGCGCGTATCTAATATCTGATCGATACAAAATATAGGATCCCTCCCAAAAACTAAGAAAAAGGGAGATTCGCCTGTTGATGTGTGGCAAGAGGTGTTATAACAAAAGCTTGCGAAATCTAGAAATTCGTCAAAATCTGGGGTGTCTTTTGTTACGTATTTCGCCAAAATATTATTAAAAGTCCTAAAACTGCGCTCTGTTATAGCATTTCCTTGTGAAAAATATGGTGTGGCATATGTCTTATTTATATAAAGTAGTGCGCAGAATTCTTTGAAAAAATCACTCGTAAAAGCTGTAGCGTTATCGCTGATCAATTCTGTACATCCGCCGAATTTTAGGTAGCAATTCTTGAGAAATTCTAGAGCTATTGTTCTAGCTTTAGAGTCTGGAAGAGGGACTGAAACGACACTTGGTAAACCAGCAAATAATGTTTAGTATATATTTATTCCCTCTGGTCGTGATCGGGAAAGGACCTGCTAAATCAAGGCCAACTTTTGCAAAAAGTGTATTGTTTGGGACAATTTGCATTTCAGCCCTATATGACGGTGTTGGGTTATGTTTTAGCTGGCAGGTGATACACTGACGCGTCCAGTTTGCTATGTCTGAATATAATTTAGGCCAATAATATTTTTGGCATTTCTTTATTGTTTTTCTTACACTCAAATGTCCGCCACCTAGCAAGGAAGAGTGGAATGAATCAAAAACTAAAGCGCGTAGTGAGATTGGTATATAAATTTTGGGTGTCTGCGAATGTGCTTTATAATACAAAATTCCTGAAATTAGGCATAAATTGGAGGCTTGCGCTGTAAAATTTTCTTTTTCGAGTTCAGTAAACCCGTTTGGTATTTCTCCCGTTCGAAGAAATTCAATATAAGCTTTAGCTTCAGGATCACTATTCTGCTCCTCTTCTAAGTTTATTTTGTAAGAATTTCCGTCTTCGTGTCTTATTGTAATTGAGTTAACAAAGGGGTCGAAAACAAGTCTGGATTTTGTTTGGAGAGCCATACAGATGGGAAATTCTACTATATCCTCTATTTCTTTTAAATTTTCAACTTCTTTTAAGGGAATATCTTCCGAGGACCTAGATAGCGCATCCGCTAGTGAGTTTTGTTTGCCTGCTACATGGACAATTTTTATTTGGTAGTTTTGCAGCTCTATAAGCCAGCGTGCTAGATGAGGGTGAGTGTCAGACTTTTTAAGTAGATAGGCTAGTGGCTTGTGGTCCGTATGTAATTCTATATCGCTCATGAAAATGAAGGGTTTAAATTCCCTTAGGGCATAAATTATAGCGCACATTTCGACTTGTACTGTAGGCCAGCGTCTTTCAGAAGCTGAAAGGGTGCGACTACAATATGAAATCGCTGAAAAGGTCCCACTTTCTTTATTTCGCTGCATTAAAACACCACCCATACCAAAATTTGACGCGTCGGTGAATATATGGAATGGCTTATTATAGTCAGGTACTACTAGATTAGGTGCTTCAGAAAGGAGATTTATTATTTTCTCAAATGCTTTTTGTTGGTCAGAACCCCACTCAAATTTTGATTCTCGCCTTGTGAGGCGCACGAGTGGCTCGCATAAAGTTGCAAAATCCCTTATGTGCCTCCTATAGAATCCTATTTTCCCTAGCACTCTTTTAACTTCTTTAACATTTTTAGGAATAGGTGTTTCTTTTATTAATTCAATTCTACTCAGAGTAGGCTTATATCCTTCCGAAGTTAATGTGTATCCCAAAAAAATCATTTCCTTAGTGGCAAATGTGCACTTCTTTGGGCTTAGTTTTAAATGATAAATTCTGAATCTTTCGAAAACTCTTCTCAAGGAAGCTAGATGTTCTATAAATGGACCTGATTTTGTATAGACCAGAATATCATCTACATAAGAGATGGCACAGTCTTCTAATCCACAAAGAACTACGGCCATAGCTCTTGAGAAAGCAGCAGTTGCATTCTTTAGTCCAAAAGGCATATAGAGCATTTGATATACGTTTTCTTCTGTTATAACCCCACATTTCCAGGACGTCTCTTCGCCTAATTTTATTTGCAGGTAACCGCTTGAAAGATCCAAGGAACTATAATATTTACAACTTCCTACCCTTTCCATAATAGAATCTAGTCTTGGTAAAGGATATCTGTCGGGGATTGTTATGTCATTTAACTTGCGAAAATCGAGGCAAGGACGAATCCCGCCGTCCTTCTTTTGTACAATTACGAAAGGAGTAACCCACGGAGTTTCGGATTCTATCATAATACCAGAGGACAATAATTTATCAATATGCTTTTTAAGTTCCTCCTTATATTTATATGGCATCTTCCGAGGAGGAGAAGTGATTGGTTCCTCAGTAGTGGTAACTATATTATGGTCGCCTCCCGTAAATGATCCAAGATCATATTGAGATTTACTGAAAATGTCCTCAAACTCATTTAATAGATCTTTTAATTGGTCAAATTCGTTTCCCTCTACTCCAGATTTGGATAGATCAATTTTGTAATTGGGGTCTATTTCAGCTTCTATGTCTATTTTTGCTTTCTTTTCAGGTTCTTCACTAAACGAACCATCTTCGTTCATTTTTATTTCATTAACATAAGCAAGATGAGTTCCTTTAAAAATTATTTTGGGTTCATTTGTAGGGTTTATCAGTGCTAACGAGATTCTGTCCGCGTACGGACCACAGATTGACGGAACTAATCCAATATGTGAGTTAGTCAGGTTTTTATCCGGATAGTCACTTGCCAGATAACCTTTGATTGGAAAATTATAATCCAATTCTGCCTCAATAATAGATTGACTGTTAGGGTATATGGTTAAATTTTGTAAAGCTCTTGCGCGAATTCCACTAGCTAGTTTATTTTCACTTAAAACTTCTATCCATTTGCCGTTTAGCATTAATCTTTTATTGTCATAGTCAAATGCTATTAAATGGAATTTACACAGTGTGTCCCCACCTAACAGTATTTTATATTCCTTATTGTTAAATCTCTCATCATCCACAAAGTTGATTGTCATGTTTACTTTAGAGCCTGCTATATTTAATATCGCTTCGCCTTTTTCGCGGGCCGCAATTACATGGCCAGAGGCACTTACTGCCTCCATCTTTGCTGGATTAGTTTTACAATTTATTAAGTCAATTAATGATTTAGGAGCTACCGTAACCGTGGATCCCGTGTCTACTAAACATTTTATTGGTATAGAATTTATTTTTGCTTGAATTATAGCAGAGAAAGTGCACCCGGGTCCTTTATTTTGTCCGGTTAATTCGTTTAATTCCTCTCTATTTGTTTGTTTGTTTGCAGAAGAAATTATTTGGATGGGCGTAAATTTAAGCTCGGTCATATTTTCATCTTTAACTGTTTGGGTTTCCTCTTTAATTATTTTTAGTGGCTTATCAATTACATATGAGGCTCGTAAAATGAAGAAAATTCTTAGAAGCATTTCGCCAAAAACTATTATTACCAAAATTGTGATTGTTCCTTTCCAGATTTTGGACCAGTCCCCGAATATTTGTTTCTCTATTTCCTCTCTAACTTGTCCCCAAGATTCTGAAGGAGTTACTCTGGTTTCAGTGTCTTTTGTGTGAATCCTATATGTTATTTCGCTTGCTCTTAATGTGCTAGCTATGTGAGTGTGCGTTATGAAGTCAGTTACATTATTTATTACTAAATGGTGAAAGGACTGAGTGGAAATCTTTGGAATAGTAAGCGATGCGAATGTTAAATTTGTTAAAACATTGGTTTCTAATTTCTTTACTTGGGCAGTCATTTGATCTATTTCCAAAATTTCATCTTCAAGTTGGATTATTTGGTGTCTGTATTCGAAACACGGGGCTTTTCTCGCGTCTGCTACTACTTCCATTCTTGCTGGGTCAATAAATATAATTTTGCTTTCACTGCCAGCTTTGAACTTAATTGGAATTTTATCAAAGCATATTCCTTTTTCAAGGTTTGTTTCCTCGTGCGTTATGAAGTCATATTGGTCGCGGTTTATTGAAACGCAGGGCCAGATTTTAATTATTCCAGAGCTTACCCTTTTCGCATGAATTAGAGGATTTTCAAAAATAACCCGTGCAAAAGTAGTTGGATCGGTAAGCGCGGCAGAGATTGCCCAATGCCTAACTTCTTCTAAATGATTACAAATCGCATGCAGCGAATGAGTGAATGAAACACGCATGGTCTGGGCCATCTTCCAACTTAGGTATGATAATTCGGATTGTAGTTGTGCTGATGTTACTATACCAGAGATGGCTCGCTTTATTCTTCTTTTGTTTTCTTTGTGGACTGCGAAACCCTGGTTGGAAATTGTTAAATTTTTATCGCATACTCTAACTGTTTTAGGAACTTCGGGAAAATCTAGCAATAGCGGTAATTTATCTGCGACCCATGTTTGGCCCATCCTTTGTCCTGACCAGGTTCCTATTGGAATATATTCGCAATTCTTTTCACTATTACTGGGCCAAATAATTTGTGTTTTGTCTTCTAAGTAACAGTTCCCATTTTTAAATGGGCAATGACTTGAGTCTCCTAGGAGAGTTTCTATGTGCGTACTACCAAAGCGCATTGTTATTTTCGTGTTGAATAAATAGCAATTCGTACTACAGACAGTTTCCCAGTTAAATGAGCCTAAAAGCCAGGTCCTTGGAGATAAATTGATTTTCTTATCAGTGTGGTAAAGCCCTTCCTCATTTATTAGAGTTCCCAAACTGCATTTCTTGTGATTTATCATTTGATTGCATTCATGTAAATTTATTTCTAAATGTTCCGGTTCTATTTGTTCAGTAATTGGTACCCCGGAAAGTGAGGTGGATTTCTTAACACATTTATTTACTTTGCGGCAGGCCCATGACGAGATTTCATGTTCATATGGGTTCGGTTTATATACAGTTAGCGATTCTGCTTCGGGGGTTTTCGAGTAATCTATCTTAGTATCTGGGCAGCCAGTAGGTGAAGGCAATGACCAAATTACCCCATGGAGCTGGGTTTGACAAATAATTGGTTGACGTGATATTGGAATAAGATTTTTCGAACCATTAATGGGAGTGACTAATATTAGCATTATTGTTAGATAAAACATCACACGGGAAATTTTTGGACCTATCCCTTCCCAGCTCGAAATTTTTGTATGGGTTTCTTCTTTCCCAACTTTATTTTCTATATTTTGCTTGATTTCTTCCTTTATTGGTTTATTCGATATCTTATCTACTGTGACAAGGGAATTAACAGACGAATTCGCGTCTTTGCTCAAAGGCGATGAATCATGACTGTTTCCTACTCCTAGTTTTGCCAATGCGTGGATTAAATCGCCAGCATCTATTAAAATTTTATTTGAGGGTTCAATGGATCTAATCTGCCCTGTGACCGGTTGCTTTGCTTGTTGGGTAGTATACTTATGAGAATTTGCAGCGTAATTAATTTGAAATCGTGCAAGTCGCTCTTGACAGGTATATGACGTATGCCCTACGCGCTTGCAGAAATTGCATATTGGTCTATTATTCCATTTCCTTTCGTTGCGTTGCTGTTGTCCTCCCCTCCAGTTGTCATTTCTATTATTCCTATTTTGTCGATTAGGAATGTACCGCGCATTTTGAGTGTTTAGCGGAGTAAAATTAGCATTCGGATAATTCCTTCTTAAAGTATTCTGATTTGGGAAAGACCTGGGAGGCATCGAATAGCTTGAGCTTGGCATAGCAGGATTTGTAGCTAACGCGTGAACCGTCTGTGTGAAAGGACTTTGTAGTTGAATTTGGCCTTTATCAGAAGCTAACATTGTTTCTAATTCCTCAGCTTGAGATTTTACCAGATCTAAGTCCTTAGCTTTCGAGAGCCCAACTAATCTAATTAGGAATCCTATGTTGGGTTTTACTCTATCTAGAAATTCTTCACAAATTTTTTCTTTCCTTTGGGTTTCATCTAACGAGGAATTCACTACCTCTACTAATGGAGTGAGTCTTTTAAGGAATTCTGAAACGGTTTCTGTCTCCCTTTGTTTGCAACATGCTAATGTACGTTTAGTTATTTCCCTTCGCTGCGGCGAGTCTAATTTTGAGCGCAGTGCTTTTAATGCTGATTCTAGTGTACTAGTTTCTTGCTGCGTTAACTGTTTAAAGAGTTGTCTTGGGGTATCAGAAAGAGCTAGCTTAAGTCTCGCAACCTTTTCAGGTTCGCTCCATGTTCGACCTGTAGCCCCTACATAGTCACAAAATTTTTCAGCCCACTTATCGTATGCTATAATAGATTCATCAGAAAATGTTTCAATATGACCCGAGTGTGAAGAAATCATGTTTATAGATTCTTTTTGAGTTTCGTCAAGATTAGAGTCTGCTAACAGACTATTGTCTACTATTGTACTATTGTTTGGTCCTAATGTATCGCTTTTAAGAGCTTCTAATCTTTCTACATTCTCCGATAATGAAATTATTTGGGTATTAAGTGTTTTTATGTTGAGGTTTACGTCCTTAGCCATTGTATTAATCTTTTCATAATTAGCATTAACTTTTCTATTAATAAGTCTTAAAGCCCTATTTACCCCTTCTTCTAACTTAATTACTTCTGAGTGGGCCTTTTCTAAGTCTTGGACCTTAATAGTTTGTTTGGCTTCCCAAAAATGTTTGTCTATTACATTTATTTTTATATCGTCCTCGGTGGACATTTTTCAAGATTTGAGTCTGCTTACAGACTATAAGATAATATATTAAAATAAGAGTGTGCACTAATAATATAATGAAATATTTTAGCGCAGGTTCCAAAAGTTAAGTCAATTCGCAATTAGCTTTTAGGATTTAAAATAATTTATTGAAGTATTTAAGCGCTTTTATTTATTTGTTACAAGTTGATTGCTTGTTGAGAAATTAAAAAATGAGAGAAAGTATGAAAAGCTAATTCCTTTTAAATGAGATTGATAAATCTATTTCGCTTGCTCTAGTGTAATAACAGTTTGTTGATTTTTCAGAGCTTTTTCTTTTATGGACAAAGATTTCTTTATTGTTATCCTACTGAGAAAATATCTTTGTAATAAAGGATTGCTTCCTGTAAAAAGTTTTTTTTTGTTTATGAGAAAAATATTTTAACTTCTCGTTTTTCTGTAAGAAATCTTAAACTAAAGAATATGTGTAATAATGAGCAATAACTATATGTAAATAAAAAATAATGTATAGATAAAAGATCTGAGATAATTGCTCAAGAAATATCGAATATAGAATCCTATAATTAGGTATTTATAAAATTTAATAATGAACTGTCTATTGATGAATTATATAACTCAGTCTAAAAGTTTAGTAATTGTTCCGAACTTAATTTAATTTTAGCAAGAATGAACTCATTAGCGGAACTATAGTAATCTTATTGAAAATATTTTATATATATATTTATCTTAATTTCAAGATTTAGGTCTGCTAACAGACTATTAAACTCTATATTAATTTCTATTTATCTCGATATTAATTTCTATCTTAATTTTATTTATCTCTATATGAATTTACCTATAGATACCATTCTAAGTAAAAAATTATTATTTTTTTTAGATATTTACTAAATAAGCTTTTTAATGAATATAATAGCTAATTCCTTATATAATTGACTTAAATTGAATATATTACTGTTCCACAATTTAGAATGATTTGAACAGATTGAATTTCTTGATAAAACTATAGCTATTTACAAAATTAATTATATATATATTAATATTTAGTCAAGATTTATGTCTGCTTACAGACTATCTACTTCTATCTTAATTCTCATTTTAATTTCTATTTATTTCTGTAATAATTTCTATAATAATTTTATTTATCTATATTAATTTCCCTCTGAATATATAATATAAACTTTTATAATTGACTTAAATAAATTATTGTTCCAAAATTTAGGGTAATTTGACCATAATTGAATTTCTTAATGGAACTGTAGCTATTTAGTATAAATTAATCTTATATATTAGTATTCAAGATTAAAGTCTGCTTACAGACTATTTCACTCTATATTTATATAGCGCCAAAAATTATAATATTATTTTTTTTTAAATTAAATTTCCCTCTATATATGAAAAGCGCTTAAATTATATTTTTTTTTAATTTTACCCTCAAAAATTAAGCTAAATTCCCATAATACTAATGTCTGCCGGCAGCCGACATCTTTCCTATAATTGGCATTTATACCCCAAAAACTACCTTCTGGTCCGGTGCTACCAGTAAGAGTGCGGGCATATAGGGGACGAGCAGAGGCATTCGGTGGATCGCTGCCAGAGCAGTTGGGTGAATGACTGTTGGAATTATTCTTCTGTGCCTGGCCAGGGCATGAGTAGTTGTTGTCATTCCATGATTAAGTGTTGCCGTAGGAAATATGAATGTCGGAGTGAGGGAATTACAAGAGGGAATCCGCGGTAATAATAATCAGTTTATAGACGTCTCATGCATGGATTAAACGTTCAGAGGGATTAATAAGTGAATGGGCGCTTGATTGAATGAATAATTATCACTGTCCCTTCAGTGGTAGTTTCCTTTCCTTTTATGCGACTAAGCTTTACATCTATTTATGTGGGCGTGCTGGGAATTAAATTTTAAATTTATCTGTACTCTGCTCTTCACCTTAC